AACACAAAAATTTCAGAAGTGTAATTCTTAATAATTCATGACCGATTTATATTTTTTATTTTCTTATTGTATTCATTGATGTGTTGATAATTTTTAATACATTAGTCTTATGAATATTGAATAGCTTGTCGTTCAGCTACTTAACATTTGGTACTTAAGACTCATTAGACAAAATTTTTGAAAAGTCCAAAGTTTTTTTTTTTGAGATTAAGAAATTGTTTTTGAACATATTTAAATAATTTTCAATCGAAATAACTTTTTAGATGAAACTAGCCTAAAATAATTTTTACACTCTTTTAAAAGTGACAGAAGCAAAAGCAAATTTCATGCGAAATGAGCTCTTATATACACTTTGGACATTATAATAGATATTTCAATGTAAAGCATTAGCATGATCTACTTTTCTTATTCGAAATAGGGTCTGAAACAAATCCTCTATTGCACAGGTTAGATGGGATATTAAGATGAAATCTAACTTTTGGTTCACTCTTGAGCTATTTTTTTTCCCAATACTATTTAGTACGATATAGTGTATTATCGATATACATGCTTAGCTGAATAATTTTCTTTTGTTTTAGATCCTAATTGTCTTCCATTCGTTTAAAATTCTTTTTTCTACGTACTCATTTTTAATTACATATTTATACAATAAAATATTCAACACGTAAATTCAAATTTTTTTAATACTTTTTAATCACGTTATTGGTTATCCAGACATTCACTATTCAAAATAATATTTTTTCAAAAAAAAAAAAATGCCATCATACAGGGACTCAGTAGAAGAAATAGAAAAAAAAAATGAAAAAATTATATAAATATGCGTGTCCCAAAATGAAAAGAAGAATTTAACACTGTCTTCTGTTACCTTTTCCATTCCGGCAAAAGTGCTAAACACACCGACAACTCAATCAGAATCATCGGACAAATGCCTTTAATCGTTATTCTTTTTCTTATCCTTAATTAATTAATTTTAATGAAAATGTCAGGCTAAAATGTTGGCGAATGAAATCAAAATGTAACCGCACGGAATCCTTTCGATGGAGATATCAGAGAGTAAAGGCGCGCGATTAACCGCAGAGAGAGAGCGATTAATCAAGCCGATAAAAACACAGCAAAAGCAGAAGATACAGAATAAAATCTCTGTAAATCTACCAAAGTTGAAAGCTAGCTGCTCAAAGAATTTCTGGGATTTCACCAACAAAACATAAATTTGCAAAATCATGTGGCATAATCAATAGCACGATTTGGTTTCCTCATAAGTCGCTTTCCTAAAGACTAAATCACGACTTGACCTTGATTTGATATTGCTAAATGGTTATGCTTCAATCTACGAGGTAGGGCTCTAAGTAAAAACCGTAAAACTGAAAAATCGAACCGAAATCGCATTTTAGAAATCGTGGACTTGGTGCCACGTGGACCCGGTCAACGAAATGGTTTTAACCCAAACCAAATCGGTTAAAATGGTTTAGTTTAAGTTTGAGAATTTTAATTGTTATTTAAAACCAAACCGGATCGGTGAAAAAATATATAAAAATAAAAAAATAAAAAAATAATTTTTTTTTATAATTCATCCAAATATTTAAAATTCAATAGTTTTGTCATTTGTGAGTATTTTTGTCAATTTCTGATTTTTTAATATAGATATATTATTATTGTCCAATAATCATAATTTATATCTAATAATCTCAAAACTAATATAATCTATCAAAAATCTTTTTTCTCTTTATAATTTAGATAAACTCCAGCCGACATCCAACACAGTTTTGAGCCACCGGCACCACATACTTCTGTTTCAGATTTTTTCACACCTCTTCAAAGTTAAATTGAAATCTATTATATCAAATTGGAGACAAAGAGATCTTAGACCTTCAGTGATAATATTTGTTACGAATAAAGTTTCAAATCAATAATTTTTTTGGAGCAAATTAATGTAAGAATCTGAAATTAAATGCATTTCGTAACATAATACAAACGTAAACTTGTGTAATTGTTATGTTTAGATATTATAAACAATTGCTTAATTATTGTTGTTGTTATTTTCTTTGTTTAATCAGTATCTTTTTTCAGATATGATGATCACGAGATCTTGTTGGACATCATTATATTTTTTGGCCTTATATCTAGTTTAGTGGATTTGTATTGCAATGTTATTGTATCGTCATTAGCCTAATAAATGTGAACAAAAATGAAAAAAAAAATTATGTTTAAGTTTATTGTGATTTCACTTTGATTTAGTTGGTATTTAAATTTATAGTAGATATATTTAGCTTTCTTTGAGCCATATTTTCCATTTCATCATAATGAGAAAATTGACCATTGGAGAGGAAGTTGGGTCCCACACATGAAACAACAGGTCAACAAAGGCGGCTGAACTTGTGGGATAACGACCCAAATTTTCATTTTTTCGTCCCAAAAATTTTGTTCAAATAGGGGCTTAATTTGGTTTAGATTCATTGCTAGTGAGATATAATTATATATTGAATTCAATGAATTAATGACATAAAAGTAGATGGGCAAAAAAATATATAGGGAAACCGAAGATTTAAAACCGGACCAAACCGTTAGGTTTAAGTTTGAAATTTTTTTTTTTCAAACCATTCAAAATCCTTTGGTTTAGATTTGGATTTTTCTCAAACCGGTTTAAACGGTTTGATTTGAAAAATTGTCAAAAATCGGTAAAATCGGACCGCTTACACCCCTACTACGAGGTAGATCACGTAGCAGTCAAATAAGCATAAGTTAAGCAAGAGGTTATTCAAGGTTATCACTCCATTCTTACATTGTTATGTGAGTTCCTTCAAGGCGATGAGATTACGCATGTGGACGTCTTGCTCGAAACATAGTTGTTCAAGACAAAGCATCACCTTATGATTTGATCTTGATTTCATATTACTGATTATCAACATGCAAGGTCATTACTTCATTTTTGAATCGTATCTTCCACATTTGCCCTCTTAGATGAGTCTTTGGGCATCTTGCTCGAAACATGATTTTCCAAGGTAAGACGTTATCTCTCTAATGCAATTAGTACAATTATAAATTTTTGATACTCTAATGTTTAGTGATCAAGATTTTGTTCATATCATAATTTAAGAGACCATTTCCACTTATAAAAGTTACATATCGACTCCTAAATTGGAAATAATATATTTTGAAATAGTATTTTGATAAAGAATGCGTGGTTAAAAAATAATTAAATTTTTTTGGACTTACGTGTCATATTATTTTATTAAAAAATATGTACTTGAAAAGAAGATGGAGAAAAATGTATTATTGAAAAAAAAATGAGGGAAAAAAGTGAATGAAACATACTCTTACATTATTCTAAGGAAAAAAAATTGTCAAAAATACTGCTAAATAAAACCCTAAAAATCATAAACCTTGCTGCGAAAGCTGACACAAGCGTAGAACAATCCTAGTTAAGAAAAGACCGTAGTCCAACTTCTGAAAATTGTCTCCTGTACTATTTCTACAGTTTTCTCTTTTTATCTCAACTCTTTTTTTTTTTTTTTTTTTTTACCACGTATGTACTGTAATAAATCTCAAAAGAAAGCAAGCGTGCGGATTTAATCCGACGGCCTGTATGAAGTGGCTGTGATTTTTACACGTAATTATATGTGGTGGTTAGGGAACACAACGGCGTCCGGTGAAACAATAATTGAGATATTGACCTAACTAAGCCTAACTTTGCTTTTATAATGTTTGATTATATTTTATTTTCATATAAAATATCAATTTTTCATTGAATTTCTACTTCGGGTATTTGATTGTTATTTTTTTTATGGAAAATATTTTACAATCTTTGAAAATATGTCTAATTTTCTTTGTTTTTAAAGAAAACATTTTCTTTAGGTGGAGGTGGTTTTTGCTTTTCTCAAAACAAGGAAAATATTTTCTTTTCTAGGTGATATTTTTCATGTCAATCAAACACACTCTTAACATTTTTTACTGGAACTTAGTTTTACTAGCAACCGGCTGCTTATAAAATGATTATGTAACAAAAATATATATTGGACTAATAATTGATCTTTTACAATCAAGCAAGGATTAATTGAAAAATAGAGTTGGTTAGGAGAATAGGAGTAGTTAATCACCTTGAATAACAACGTATAACCAAGTTCAAATTGAGAATTCTAAAACTTGAGTATTTTTTTAATATAGATTTAAATTCAATTTCAAAATTGTTAACTTATTAGATGGAGTTTCTCGATTTCCTTATAATTAAATTCAAAATTATCATTCGTATAGTTGGTGTTGGACCCTTGTTTAACTTCTCGAATCATACCCTCTCAAAATCATTTTCTAGAAATGATCATCACGTCTAGCTTTTAAGTGGTGAATTTTTACTTTCATTTTCTTTTAATCAAGAAAGTCACACACTTTAATGAGATCCACACGATTTTCATCACATTAGGTTGCGTTATGACAAAATTGTAAAATCTATAATCATTAAAATTAATTGGGGTCCATATGTTCATTTTTTTTATTTTATTTTATTTTTAACCTTCCACTTATGTCAGGAGATTCATCTCTACATTTAAGATAAGGGAATTACTTTATTACAACTTGGTATAAAATCCAATAAACCCCATAATTATCTACATGATTGCTCCAAGACATTAAAGTTTTATAATACAAATCCTTGAAAGCTTTTATAAATTAAAAGAAAAAGAAACAAAAAATCAACAGTCAATCTTTATTAGTGGATTTCATTAATATTGTGCTCAAATTTCACTTTCACCAAAGTTGGCTTTGAACTTGACTCGACCTTTTCAACCCTAATTGGCTTTTGAATGAAATTTATTCCATGTACAATGTATGGTGGACTAAAATTAAGCCCATCATTATAAAAGTGTATGTTCTTTTCTTGAAGATAAACATGTACACAATTTGCTAGTCAATCTTATAGGGCACGTTTCTTGGAATTCTTTTATAGTATTCTTAAATATAATATTCAAGAAAATCTCATTCTATTTTCTCTATCCTTTAACATTTAAGATGAGAATTACATTTCAGTCTGTAAAGTCTTCATGTGTTATGATATTGAAGTTAAAATCATAGTTAGAATCATGTAGTTGTTTCTATTTAATTCGTCGATTTTGTGACGACCTTGACATGCTATTTTTCTTTAATGAAAATTAGCGCAACATTTTAAAAAGTGAAAAAATAGTTCGATACTGCCATTTACGTGTCTAATATTTTGAAATAAATATAGAGTAAAATCAATTGTTACATATCATATTTTGTATTGTCTAGTTCAATATACTAAATTTATTTAAATAATTATTATGATTTCCTTAAATTATTTGTACTACACCATTTATTGACCACCAAATTTTAATTAAAATTTTTCTTAATTTTCTCATTGTTATTCATGTTAATAATTTTGTCGGAAATAGTCTCAACATTTGTGTGGTTGAGAGTGGAATTTCCATTTCTAAATATGACCAATCTTTTCTAGTGGCCGCAACCCATGACTAATGACTCCACGCGCACGACCCCCAATTGGTTGACAAGGATGCATCCTTGAGTTGGGACTGCGTCAAATTCGCTTTATCTATCGTCTTTCTTTTTCTCCTTTTAAATTTTTTTTCTTATACATAGGTAGAATCACAAAATACATAAATTGAATACTAAGCCACAAATCTCGACTTTCAACACAAACAAGAAGACCGTAATATCGAATTGAAGTGCAATTCCTCACATCTCAACAAGTGAAGATTATGCGCACATTCTAAATAATTTTTGGATCGTTTATATAAATTCTTCTTTGTCACTACATTTGTTTTTTTATTATTACTAAGCGTGCCAAAAAATCAACTTTAAATTTTGTGTAGAATCTAAAATCTAGCCATCATCAATATTCCATAGTTGGTTGAACATAAGATAAGTGTGTGACACTTAATGGAGGTCCCATTCTCTGAGCCCACCATTGCTACAGTATCTCAACTTGCCAAATAAATTTGATTTGCATTTTTATAAGTATAGTATGTTCGTGATCTTTGATTTAAGTTAATATATTATTCCATTATTGATTTCAAAATACTAGCTATGTGTTGTGGAATAGCATAACAACTTTCAATTTTTTCCTTAAGACGTGGTCCATTTGAGCTGATCAATAGTTTCCCACCGTTGGATGGAGCACGGAAGTTGATGTGCACTTGTTGTAAGTTCTTCCATTTTCATAGTAGTCATCATGAGTAGGGAAAAGAATATGTCAGTCCACGTTGTGAGTTTTACGCGTACGACACGTCTATTTCGCCATTCGAAGCATTTCAAATGTTTCACGAGTGAAAGTTGAGATGATCTTTCTCAAAGTGATTCCTTTTCCCATATTGAAAATAATAATAATTAATGCCACTTTTTT